TCCTGCAGCCTTGGTGCATACACCTAATCCCCATTGATGGTAACAGCATACACATTGCACAGGACTGCAGAACCAAGTGCCTGATCAATTCTACCTGCAGCACTGGTGGTTGGCAAGTTACAGCTTCCTCTCACCTGGGCAGTTCCCCAGCTCCTTAGGCAAAGCCTTAGCAAGACAATGTAGCTCAAAAGATGTGAGGGAACTGGGCCAGTTTTACAGATGGGGAGCCCCTGAATTCTCGTAAGCACATTTAAAACTTCCTGCAGTAAGGAAGGGATCTTCCAAGCCCCAAAGGTACCATGATGTCCCTGAACAGCCTTGGGGTGGTGGTGTTCCCCAGAGTGAGGCCATGGGAAACTGCCCAGAGTCTCTTATGGCCAGGGATCTTATGGGCCAGGGATCGGGGAGCAGGGGGAACGAAAGCTTGGCCACACCCCAGTGTATCTCAAGTGCTTCTGTGTGCTCTCTCACTCACATGCTGCCTGCCCACAGCACAATTTGGATGAATAGTGGAATTTAAAAAAAAAAATTGTGTTTGGCGAGCAGCCTGTTTAAGCATGTTCTCTTCAGCTGGAGGAACACCCAGAAATTTAAATACAGGGCACAAGACACATATTACAGAGAGTAATTAACTAAAATTAATTCCATGATTCACCCCTATGCAACAGGATTAAAGCTCTCAGAGGGAGTGCATTGCAGGTGAGAGACACACATTAGGTGCAGCAAGAGAGATATTTCTATGGAGATCCCACTACTGCTAAAACCTGAAGAGATCAGCTAAGAAACAGGCCTCTCTCCCTGGAAGGGCAGAACATCCCCCCACCACAGGAAGAGGGGGCAGCAGTAGGTACTGCCTTCCCATCCCAGCCAACTAGCCAGGGCAAGGTGGTTCACCTTGTCCCTTTCCTTCCCAAACAACCCAGGTTTCCATTTCGCAAACTGCTCCGACTTGGCGGCGGCAAGCTCAGTGCGCTGTGGAGACAGACGCTGTTGGGTGGCTTGTAATCTTTTCTGCCAAGCGGGATGGGAATGGGAAGGATACGGATTTCAGACTCATTTATCAAACACTATTCTCATTCGCTCTGCCTGCACAGTGAAAAATCGCTCTCTGCAGCACCCACATTTACCTTAGGGGAGACACTGAGCTAGGTATAGGAACAGATATGGGAACCCGTTTAAGTTGCTTTTCCATCCAGATATAAATTCCTTCTCATCCTTCCAGAGATGATCTGGAATTGAATAGCTAGAGAAACTCTGAGGGGCTTTGGATCTTTGTACAGCTGCTCCTGGTTCTTAAAAGCATTCCCACCCCTTCTCTCTAGAACCATGCCTGGTATGACATGAGCAAAACCTCCACACAAGCATATATATTAATAATAATGAACCAAGGTACCAGCCATCCCTTTCTGCACGGTTAGCTCCATACTGTCCAGTGGTGACCGTTATAATTGGGCCAGGAATGGTGACAATGGGATCCTTAACACTCTAATGCTCTAGGAATTGTTCTGGAAAAGTTCAATGGCCTGTGTTGGATCACAACGATCCCTTCTGGCCTGGGACTCCATGACTCGATAATTCGATTCAGTTATCTAGTCCCTACCCAATTTAGGACTAAGCACTCTCACCCCTGACCTCCCCCAGCCCAACATCTGCAAAGTGGGGATAATTTTCTAACTTGGAGTGCTGCTGAGATGATCAAAAAAATTTGTAAAATGCTGTCTAGGGCCATAGAACTTGTACTCAGGAGCTGCTAGGTACCGCTATAATACCCAGTGCCTGGCGTTACTCAGATGAGCAAACAGGCAGTGGCAGCAGGATTCATCTGCTGCACTTGCTCTTTTCCAGGTGCATCATTGCGGTGCAGGTAGAATAGGTGTAAGTAGGGCAAGGGGTAGAGAAATAAAATTCGCTACTGGGCTTCTCTCTGCCACTAGGTGGTGCTGTAACCCTTCAAGCCTTCACCAACTCTTTCCCCCCCCCATCCTCAAAAAACCTTTCACCAGCTGCTTCTGCAGCTCTTATTCCTCTTCAGTTACAATCTCTTGCCCTTCATTTTGCATATTGCCTGTATAAAAACTGCACCCAACACCATTTCATTTGTTACAGGGAACAAAAGCTGCAGCACTCAGGAGTGACATTCACAATAACATTATGGGCTTTCCCCTTCTTCCCCCAAATCATTTGTGGCCACAGTTAGTGGCTCACTTTTCATGGAAAACCTTCTGGCTGCTGCAAAGGAAGTGCCTGGCTAATGGAGGCGATTTGTATAAAGACAAGAGGGTGGGGGAAATGGGCGAGAAAATGCAAGAGAGAACACACCACAGGGTGAATATAACCAAGTATTCATTTATTAACAAAATAAGACTTACCAAGATGGAGCTCTATTCACCCAAAATGATCCGCAGCCTTCCCTGCTGCGTTAGATTGGGGATGGGAGGGGGGCAGGCTCTGCACCCCATTCATGGTTCATTCCTGTAGGTCAAGAAAAGCTGGGGTTTGGGGATGGGGGTTTTTGGTATGTAGACTGGGCCTGTAGAAATCAGATCAAGATGGATTTGGCCCTGGGCGCTGGATTAAATGACCCAGTTTGTACCAGGCTGTGCGGCTCTCTCCTAGCTATTTCTGCGGCTGTGAAGGGTCTCTTCTCCCCTGCCCCCATCAGCGAGTCACGGACACCAAATTCATAATCCACATCTTTTAATTTTGATCAGGTGCCCTGTGATGGATCAGCGAGCGAAAGCAAGTCATCTGCAGTGGCACAGCCATTACACCTATCCCAGGACATCAGTGGACTCCTTCAGTATTATCAGGGGAGTCCAGAGACCAGGCTGACTGGTAGACTAGTTCTAGGTCTGTACAGGAGCCCACTGGTGCTGGAAGGCAAGGCAGATTTTCCAACCACGGGAGAGCAGGAGACAGGATACCAGACTAGATGGAGGACCACTGGTCTGAATCAGTATGGCACTTCCTATGTCCTTTTCCAAACTATAGAAAGAAGCAGGGAGCGTCCACCCACTGTCCCGATCAGTAGGTCTCCATGGCTTTTGCAGACAGTGCCACATTTTGGGATGAAGAGAGCTCTGGGGTAGCACTGCCATAGACGTTCTCCCAGCTGCCCTTCCTCCCTCCCCACCGCCGTTGCCCCTTCCCCAAAATACATTACAAAAAAAAAATTACATCTCTGTTAACTGTACAAACAAAGAGAAACGGAATTTCAAAATGATAAAACGAGGGAGGGGAAATGTATTTGTTAAAAGAGGCCATGCAAGGACTTCCTGGGTAGGGGACACAATAAAATAGAATTTCAAAAGAAGAAAGAAAAGGGAAAATAAAGGAAAAAGAAAAGCCCCACACCTGCAAAAGAAAGGATTTTTTTTTTTTTTAGACACAGACTTTTTGCCTACCATTGATTCATTGGTATATTAATGCACTTAATATTCCCAGCTTTAAGCTAACATACAGTAAATAAATACACAGTCCAAGGAAGGGAAGGAGAGCGGGGGAGGGCAAGGAGACGGGGTGCTTTAGTTACTGATATCCAAGCGCGGAAGCTGAAGTTAGTCTTTGGCCATACAGCGCATATGGAGAGTAGTAGGGTCCAGCTGCTGGCAAGGAGGGCACTGGCAGAGCACCGGCTGTGGGCAAGTGGCTCTTGCCATAAGGGTGGTACCTGTTTAGTCCCAAAGTGTGTGGGCTCCTCAAAGACAGGGATCCCGGTAAAGTGTTGGGGCTCCCTGGGGCGGTGGGTGGGAGGTGGAGGTGGCAGGATGCCGCAGAGCCAAGACCAGAGGTAGGGTAGCCAGCCAAGAGTTTCTCCGCCCCGGGCAGAGCCGTGTGGGTCCTTAGGTGGGTGAGCAATTCCTCCGAGGTGGCAAACCTCTTGTCGCAGGGTCCACTGGCAGACACCCAGTTGCATATGTGGGGCAAGGGATCGTTCTGGAGCATGAAGCCGTAGGTGTAGAGGGGGTGGCTGGGCAGGCTCGGGGTGGCGCTGGAGGATAGGGTGGTGTGGACGGAGTGCAGGGGGTGCGTGGGATACACCAGGGGGTATCCGCTTTTCAGGCTGCCGGGGTCG